TATCTGGAAATAGAATGAAGCAACCAACATTTCATAATAGCATTGCTTTCTAATCACTTCGAATTCAATTAATTTTCATTTTACGTTTGATTCTTGCTAAAAGTATGATTTTTATATCGAAAGCTGAAGACTTCTTTAGCGAAAACTCTCCCAGCGATCGGTTGCACTTCGGTAAAGTTTTAGTTCAGTTGCAGTAAACGGTATTGAAACAAGATAGTAATGCTTAAATATATGAACACGCAAAGTATTTCCCCGAAAATCATATGCGGTAACTTACCAGTACCTGTATCGGGGTACCGTGACGATGTATGTATGTATGTTTATTCGTCTCGTAAAAGCAATATAAAAGAGTAAGTAATTATAAATACTGAAGACAGGATGTATGCACAAGACCATATTGGCCTAAAACACAAATGTGCGGCATACACCCCTTTTGATATATATAAATTATAATAGGGTAAATCAAATATGTACAAGTATGTACAATCAAATATGTACAGGAACTGTCATGCCTTTTTTAGGTCCTGTGACATGATCAATTTTTCATAATTCATTTTCGTCAATTCAAATATCACGTGATCCGAGTAACTTCTGTATTACCAGATTAGGTACCGCAGTCAACCATTTTTCACGAAAAAAACGTCTCAAAATCATATGCGTCAAATTACCAGCACCTGAATCGCGCTACAAATAGGGAATATCATAGCTTTTCCATGTCCTGGTCAATGATCTATTTTATTCTTCTTCATTCAATTTCAACATGAATTGAAATACCAAGTGATCCGAGACACTTCTCCATTACCAGGGCAAAATAAAATATAAATTCCCCAGTAATCATATACTGTACCTACCACTACCAGAGCGGTACCGTAAAACATAATTCCGAATTTCGCAAAGCAAAAATTTGCTGAATTGAAACGGACTCCTAGTCGGACAAAAAACCGTGTTCCCATAAGTAAAACAGCAAAATTTGGATGAAATATCAGATCTCATAGAATTCATACAAAATTTAGAAATAAATAACAGCCTTTTAGAAAAAAAATTATATCCTTTATCACTAGAAATTTGAGAGTAATTTGTCCAGTTATCGAAGGAAAAAGCAATTTTTTTTTATAACGATAAAATTCTGTCTCAAAGATCAACAACAACATATTCACAAAACGATCCATAGGTCCACTACGTGTCCGATTCCAGTCACTCACAGCGAAGCAAAATAAGCGCGCCGGCGAATCAGACTGATGCCATCAGTGTCTGCTGCCGACAAAGTGCAAAACTATTATGAAAAAAGTCTCTCTGGTAAAAAATCGTGTTAAACAAATTGAAGATGCTCGGAAGCTGTCAGAATAAGATTTCCAGAGGCATGACTTTGTATATGAGCACTGCCATTTAAAATACAATACTACAAAACGAATGTTCCGCATTTATCTTATAGGAAATGTTATTCGATATTTGATAAGCTGGTTATGGTTTCTTGTCCAGTTACATAATAGTTGGGTATGAAAAAGGTGAACAGTTCTACCGGTTCAACGTTCTAAGATCATCAACATGATTGATGAATTTTTTAGCGGCAGTCAATTCTTAAGTATTTATTTAGATTTTTCTACACAGGCTGTGTTTGTTTTAATGACGTTTCAAAGATATTTTCGAGTTTGCTTAATTAAGTTGAATTTGTATTGAATTTGCAGAATACACAATTTTATTATTGAAAGAATTGTATAACAAAAATTATTATTAATCAAATGATTTTCCTAAAAGCATCTTGATTTGAAAAAGTTGTGTACTCCTTGATTCAATTTTTCATAAAATATACCTAGTACAGTATTTTTTATAAAATTATCGTCATCTGGCAACAAATATTGGTTATTAAATATTATGGGAACATGTATTTTAACCGCGTAGAATTTTATTTATCAAATTCTGCAACCCAACTTCACAGTGAGGTAGACTTTGCGGGTAAACTAGATTCATTTTACTCCGGGTTCAATAAACGGATTTCAGTTAGCAACTGCCATGAAGTTAATTAAATATTGAAAAAACAAAACTTTTGAAAATAGGAAAATGGACTAATCCCAATTTTTTTCAATTTTCTCCATTGTACAAAGTTAAAAAAAAAAAAAAAAAAAAAAAAACTTAAGAGTTATAATCTGTAATGACGTTTTTGAGAGAGTACACAAGGAGAAAAAGAGAAAAATACAAACGGATATATGACGAAAAATGGATTATCATCACTGGGTTTGATATGTATTAATAATTGTTTATCCAACTGTTTTAATTTTCCTCAATTACCGTAATTGGAACGCAATACATGCAATTGGTTTCAAAAAAACAAAAAATAAATAAAATTATATAAAACAAAAACTGAAAATTTAATTGGCTTCAAAAACATAATTAAATAATTCCATATTGACAAAAAAAAAAAAAAAAAAAAAAAGGGCAAATTGGAAAACGATAGTTCTATAAATAGAATCGATTTGGAGCTGTTGAGTTAGTTATCATAAGAACATGGTACAGGCAACTCAGAGCTAAAACAGGTGTTTTGGGATCCTTATGATGGCAATACCTTCTTTCAATGGAATATGTAATTTTTTATGATGGCAACACTGTATTATCCATCTATATACCAAGACAAATAATTGCACTCTTGAATTTTGATTGCATATTATAGTCATCAAACTAGCTTCGAATTTGTTAAATGCAATTTTGAATTTGAGCAACAGTTTTTCTATATTAATGGTTGTTATTATTTTGCTGAAAATTACACAAAAAAACATGAGACTAGTGAATAGGATTAGAATAGCATTTACAGGCTTTACATGTCCTATTAAAACTGAATCCATTAGAATTGAGATTGCAATTTTTGAATTGTGCAATTTTTACTCTTAACACTCAACAGTTTGAGACCCAAATTTTGGAGTCCTCCGCTTTTTTTTGACCAGTTCATGCAAGCGTTTGATCACCTTTCATTTGAAATCATTGTATTGCAAAATACCAGCAGTAAGTAAGATGTAACTGCACATAGGTATGTTACCATAACATTGAAGGGTAGGCGGTTATTGTATAATAGAGACAGATTCAGGATTGCGCAACAATATTCGGTTCGATTCGGCAAAAATATTCGATTCGAATCAAAAAATTATTCGAATTTGGACAGCCCTAGTCACTGATTTCAAACTCTGATTCATGCAATGAGAACTGGGAAGACTGTATGAATAATGTGAGAACTGTAATAAGTGAACTGAAGGGGTGGAGGCTAACTCGCCATGAGGGCTAACTCGCCATGGACCACTCGCCATGCGACGGCGGTTAACGGGTTAGCCTGCAACTGCAGGTGGAGGCTCTTCTTGTAATGGGTGATGGAAAGGTGGCTGTTTATACTAACAACTTCAATAGTAAGGATAAATATGTGTTTGGTTACAATACCTACTGTGCAAATGGTAACAAAGTGACAAGAAAACGTGCTTATATGTCGGAAGGCATACTGGTACCGTACGGTACTCGACGCGCAAAGGATGTCTCAACTTTTCATCTAAGCATGCTAAATATATCATCATATTAATTCATTGTATGAGCACTGAATCAACAACAACGCTAATTATATAAAAAGTTCTATTTTGCTACCGGCAGTCTCATTTTATTCTAACAGTCGTTGATTGCGAGCAGAGAGGGAGAGAGAGAGCTAACTCGCCATGTCTATTTTCTTTATAATTGACGATCGACATCGCGAGAGAGAGAGCGAGAGAGAGGGCTAACTCGCCATGTCTTTATTCTTTATAATTGACGATCGACATCGCGAGAGAGGGAGTGGGCTAACTCGCCATGTCTTTATTCTTTATAATTGACCATCGACATCGCCATTTCGAGAGAGAGAGAGAGGGCTAACTCGCCATGTCTTTATTCTTTATAATTGACGATCGACATCGCGAGTTCGAGAGAGAGGGCTAACTCGCCATGTCTTTATTCTTTATATTTAACGATCGACATCGCGAGAGAGAGAGAGGGCTCTGTTTGGTATACCCTGGCCGGGCATATATTTCCTTTCCTCCGCACAGTCACCTTTCCATCTCCCATTACAAGAAGAGCCTCCACACAGTTGCAGGCTAACCCGTTAACCGCCGTCGCATGGCGAGTTAGCCCTCATGGCGAGTTAGCCTCCACCCTATGATATACGGTAATTATTCCTCTTTTCACATTTTGTCTTCATGTCACGACTTCTTATTAATATTACTGTGATAAAATTAATGCTAATATTGAACACTAGACAATCAGTAGGCTATATAATTTCATTGAATATAACATAGGGCAACAACTGAGTATTATTTTTAAACTACCAGTAAATAATAGTGTAGCACATACTTTTTCCCCAATAGATACTATGGAGCCATAATTACTTTTCTTCGGCAATATAACATCACATAAACTGATTAGTGATTTAGAACAAGAGAAACATTGAATAATATATAATAAAATAGTAAATAATTTGAAGAGTGGTGACAGAATAGTGTTTCTTAGAGATGGTAGTTTTGAAAGAGCTTGTTCAAACATACATTGTAAAATATTGGCTAATAATATTAAAACTTTTATTACGTAATGCAGTCATACTTCTATGTACTACTGCAAGATATAAGATATCTGGATATGGTTGGAACCAAAGTGACTATAACTATAATACAGTAATATATACCGCTAGTCACTTTGGTTGGAACATAATGCAGTTATTTTTGAAAATGTTAGTTCAAGTGTTAATAATGTCTCAACAAGAATTGGAAAAATCCCTTTCAGCAAGGAGAAATATAAAACAATTTAGACTAAAACCTAGTTTTATAAAAGAACTTGACCTAATATGCAAGAATCTATGGCTAATTGTATAAACTTTTATTTTCTGCTATCAATAATTAAAAAACATGTAAAATAATGTATATTTACTGATAAACATGGTGAACTTTATCTGGAATCAACAATGGAACACTATGAATTACTGGACAAAACTGGATGATGTTTATATATATATATATATTTGTTATTCTATATCAGTAAATGCTGATGTGGAACCTTTGAAAAAAGTGAAATTACCGGTATAACTATTTGCGGTGTTATATTCACTTTGACATAGACAGGTCGGCGGTTTCGCTCATCCATCCCAAAAATGGCTGATGGTCTTGCTGTGGAAGAAGATTCAAATTTGAGATATAGTTATGAGAGTCCAAGATTTAAAGTGTTGGTGACAGGAGGTGCTGGATATATTGGTTCAACTTTGGTTCCAATGTTATTGAGTGAAGGGTATGCTGTTGTCATATATGATTTGTTCAGGTATGTGATTAAATTCATGATATTACTGTTCTAGCTTGGAATTTTTGTGCACTTCATACATGTATTTCATCCGTCATTTTTTGTGGTCTGTTATAGGTTAGTACCACATGCACTTCTAGTTCAGTAACGGTAGTTGGCCTGACTCAACAATTCTCGCATATGTCATTCCCCACCTCACTACATCACTAAAAAAATCACATTACTACGACGTCACATTGGCGCAATAAAGCCCTCGATAGTGTACATATGGTCGTCCAAAATGCGAAGAACATCACCCGATATGAGAGAGATCGATGGTGGTAATGAATTCGTGATCGGCAGCGTAGATTATGTTTCGGGCTATCGTAGCTATACTTGGACAAACTCTATGGCGTGATTGTGATGTCGTAGTGACGCAATTTTTAAGTGACATAGTCAGATGGGGGTTAGGAACATCATATGCAAAATTGGGGGTCTTCTGAAGTACGCGCTCTCAACCACTTCTAGTGGGCGTAGCATAACGATTTTTGCATATAATATTGCTAACCCCCACCTGGGTACATCACTCAAAAATTAATTACATCACTGCAACATCACAATCGCGTCATAAAGCTTGCTAAAGTTTAGCTACGGTCGTCCAGAAGGCATATGTGTCGACTGTAATGAACTCACCAACCTCAGCGATCTCTCTCTCATCGGTATCGTTTCGACGAGAAAACGAGAGAAATAGCTTGCTCGATTTTGGATGATTGTTTGCGCGACTATTCGTATACTTTGTAGGGCCGTATCCCGTATTACCTCACTACGTCTTCGCAGTGATGTAATTTTCGAAAATCGTCCCCCGGAAAATACTTCTTATGGTACTATACTAGATTCTTTTTTTGCACAGTATGTCATTGTACAGGAGGAAGTATTTGCATACCTGGAATATTACTCAAATGGCATTACAGTATTACCCTATCGCATAGGTTCTCAAAGTGCTCCGTACGGAGTCCCAGGGCTCCGCGAGAGAAACCCAGGGGCTCCGCGAGCTATTCCATTACTTTTCAAAGTACTGACTTGGCTAATTTTGTAACTGTTCAAAAAAGCAATAACAGCTTGGATAAAATTTGACAACAATATAGCCTCAAAATATATTAAAATGACAATATTTATAAGCAGTAGCGCAGCCAGGATTCTTAAGAGGGAGTTAAAAATTGGAATAGGATATTTACGTGCAACATTCTTCGCGATTAAAAAGGATAACGAGATTTCGGTTGCGTAAAATATTCAATCCATGACCGATGCGAGCATTTAAAATGTCTTGGCGGTATAATTTATTTGTGCTCATCGTTATTCACGTCTGATTCGAGATTATTATTAGGATTACTAAAACGAAAGAATACTATTATAAAATAACATAAAATATGTACAAAACTGCAAACTATAAGGTCGTATTTTTGCGATCTTGGGATTTATCATACTTGATTTGTTCTTTCGCACTCGAGATTATTTCTAAGCAAGTTTAAAAAATCACAAGGTCTGGGCAAAATACAAACGATTGAAATTTATTTTATTGCATGCGGCTCCGTCGGTAGTTTCAGAATGAAAAAAGGTAGCCTACATCGCGCGCACAATTGACTGTGTTTCGATTTCGCAGTTACTACGATGAATTACCAAAGAAAACCTAACATAACACCAAGTTTTGGGATAAACAATGTTTATAAAAGCGTTTTGAGGTCTGCTAAAACCAAACTTATAGTGTGATCTTCCATTTTAAGTTTTAGTTTTAATATTTTAGAATGCCGCTTTTCAATCAAGAAATTTGAGTTGCGGATTCACCTCTTTATTAATTATGATTTTTAGCATTTCGTCGCCGATGACCATAATATGTTTTTCACATTGAACACATAATTTCCCACGAGAACAAAAAAGCAATTGTTGTCGTCATTGTGGAACAATACATGGACTATATGCCAAAGAAAATTTTCGATTTAGGGAGAATAAACTTCGGCGTAAAGATGTTTAAGGTTTAAAAACACGCCATGCTGACGAAAACAATCGGCAATTGTAACAAAATTCAATCGCGCACGTTATTAGCGGCCCTTTAAGTCTTCCAAAAATGTCAAATAAAAAAAGATTCGACCCCCAATTATTAATATGTTTGCCAAGTGTCAAATTTGCAGTTTAAATTAAGTAAAGTACTTTTAACTTACTCAGGAATATTAATCGGAAAGTAACAATTTTAACATTTATTTTGGGGCTCCGTGAATAATAGTCAACCTTTTTAAGGGCTTTAAGGGAATTATTGAAATATCCAAATGGTTAGATTTAATCACTCTCCTCCATTAATGTTTTTTGAATTTTTACTCTTTTATTTGGGTGTAATGTTACCAATATTTTTGACCCAACATCATAAACTCAAAGGCTAAGTACCATTTGCTCGTATTACAAGCTCATGATCCTTTAAAGATTGAATAAGGAATAGAAGCATTTAAATGCAGTTAAGAGCCACAGTTTCAAATGTTCTTGATTCTAATATTGCCATACTCAATGCACTGCACATATATATCATAAGTTTTTCATTAATATGAAACGATACCAAATTGGAGAAGAACTAAATCAATTTTTTTCCATACGTCAACTTGATTTTGTTTCGCATAGAAAAAATGCTATTCTACAAGTTCATTTGTGTTTAATAACAGTAACAAGCTTAAGCTTTCCTTTTAGGTGGGGAATGCAGCCATTATTGAATTCAAATTTGGATGCCAGACATCTTCAGATTATAAATGGTGATATCCTAGATGATATAACTTTGGAATCTGTTGTGAAAAGTTCCAATGCTGTTATCCATCTTGCTGGTATTGTGAGTGCTCCTGCATTTAATAGGTAATTGTGGTGTTCAATAATCTCTGTTGCTGAAAGTCATGATATAGGCAACTGTATGTCGACGCAGAAAAACCAAAGTAGTTTATGTCACATTTTTTTTTTCAATTTCATGTCATTATTTCTGGATTTGACAGATTGGCATGTAATGGGTAGAATAATTATGAGATATTCAATGGTTTTCCGATTTTGAATGGAATAAAAATTCAAAGTTAACAAATATTTTCGAGTATTAAGTTGACGAATAAGTAACATACTAGTACTTTTATAACTCAATTCTGCATATCATAAGGATATTTACCGGAATTCTAACCTATGAGATGCAGACATAGGAGATAAAGCTTTTGCATTAACGGCAAAATTCTTGTTTTAAATATGATTATTATACAAGCACACCGATTCCGCTTCTCCCGTAAAAACGCTCCGCGTCTTTGAAACCAGATGTTGGAATACTAAGCAGTGCGTTTCTTTGAACGTGACTATCAATGATATCGATGAATTCAAAATGACTATAAAAGTGTTAGTAAAGTGTTATAGTCACTTTGGATGAATTGTGACCAAAGTGCACGATTTTCAAATCAGACGAAACTTTTAGCAGCATGTCACAGATTTGCAAAATCACCAAATTCACAAAATACCATCAAGTGCCATTTTATTGTAATCACAATGTTGAAAGCATGTGGCATTTTCCGGAATTTTGCGATATTTACACAACTATTTCTCATTGATATGGGAGTACGGGTGGGCAAAATTCAATATTTTTTTGAATCGAATATTTTTAACGAGTACCGAATAACAAATATTTTTGGAACGTCGGTGGAAACATTAAAAAATCGGGCAACAAAGCCTTTTTACTGGTTAATTCCGTTGTAATCGCTAATTACTTATCGATCTTAAGATCGGTAAGTATATTGATAGGTATTTGTATGTATGTCTGTCTGTCTGTCTGTCTGTGTGTGTGTCTGTTAGATGCACGCGATATCTCACGAAAGCGAGATTGAATCTGCTCCAGATTTTGCATGTGCATTCATCTTATCTCGGACCAGAAGCCTATTGATTTTGGGCGAATTATGTCGTATAATTAGCGAGTTATCAATCAATTATTGATATAGTGATCTAGATTTTTGTAAAGCGAGAGAATTTTGAAACCCCGCCGAGTGTGTGTGTGCGATGCGCAGTGCGCAAGTTACAAGAGCGGATGAATCGAAACTGCAGTTTCTGTTTTGGGGGATCCCCTAACTATCGATCGATAAGTCTTCGGTTTCCAACCGATATTCTCGTTGTTCTTGTTACCGATCGTTTTGGCGGCGATATCCAGGTTTTGGTAATCTATATTTCAGCCCTCTCTTTTTTTACAAATATGAATTCTTGCGGGTCCGCCGACATCTAAGTTTTATATTTCGGGTTTACCAGTTCGTTCACATCGGCAACAGCTGTTGAAGACATTGAGGACTCAAACTAACATTTGCGTTGGCTTTAAATATTACCTATCAAGATTTGTAAATTTACCGTCCCAATTTTATGCCAATGGTAATATTATTGTCGATACCGTGATGCAGATATTTATTAAGACGGTAATTAACTTTCTCATGTTTTTCTATGGTGATAAACTTAGCAAATCTGAAATTGTGCAATCCTGAATGTTGATTTAAAATAGTGATTGAATAATTCGGCAATAAAGGCATTTCTGCATGATCTTAAGACGAGATGACGTTAATGAACAGCACTTCTTTTACAGGATATTTTACGTATGCGACTTAATGCTAAAAAGATTGGGCTCGAGTGCTTTTTTTTCGAGTGCTCGAGTGCCTAATAGAGGTCAGGCGCTAATTGTAACTAATTCCCTCGAGTGTTTACAACAAAACAATACCCCGGCGATAATTATAGCTAAAATGTTACCAGCAATTCACAATTTTATTTATGGAATTTGCAAATTCACCAGTTTCTTAACGATTTTGATAATGTCACGCCCTAATTATTAGTGCAAAAAATACTCCCCTTCTTCCGCGGCGGTTTGACGGGTTCCTTGTTCCATTCTTCAGAAAGTTCTGACACGGGGATATAGAATACTGAATCCGGAGGGTTGAATCCCGGTCGACTTACTGGCGATTTTCCGTTTTGGAATGCGTGAAACATTCTCTATTTTAAATTAAATGACGTTTCGCGGGCTAGAGTTCTCCCCGAAAATGATGTGTACCAGACGTTAGTTAGACGATAGATAAAACATTAGATTAATATTTTTCACGGCGCCCCGTTTTCGAAAATACAAGGTTATATCGCAAAAAATGCGTTTTGATACATTTGGAATGAAACATTATTTACGTTTAATTCATATGATATTCTACTCTTCATGAAACCCGGTATCCGAAAATACAGTTGTATCGCGAAAAATGTGTTTTTTTTTACATTTAAATTAAAACATTTTTGCGATTAATTTAGATCATATTTTACTTTTCAGGACACCCGTTTTCGAAAATACAAGGTTATGTCGCGAAAATGTGTTTTGTTACATTTAAAATAAAACATTTTTGCGATTAATTTAGATCAAATTTGACCTTTCACGGCAACCCGTTTCCGAAAATACAAGGTTATATCGCGAAAATGTGTTTTGTTACATTTAAAATAAAACATTTTTGCGATTAATTTAGATCATATTTTACTTTTCAGGACACCCGTTTCCGAAAATACAAGGTTATATCGCGAAAAATGTGTTTTTTTTACATTTAAAATAAAACATTTTTGCGATTAATTTAGATCAAATTTGACCTTTCACGGCAACCCGTTTCCGAAAATACAAGGTTATATCGCGAAAATGTGTTTTGTTACATTTAAAATAAAACATTTTTGCGATTAATTTAGATCATATTTTACTTTTCAGGACACCCGTTTTTGGAAATACAAGGTTATATCGCAAAACGTGTTTTGTTACATTTAAAATAAAACGTTTTTGCGATTAATTTAGATCAAATTTGACCTTTCACGGCAACCCGTTTCCGAAAATACAAGGTTATATCGCGAAAAATGTGTTTTTTTTTACTTTTAAAATAAAACATTTTTGCGATTAATTTAGATCAAATTTGACCTTTCACGGCAACCCGTTTCCGAAAATACAAGGTTATATCGCGAAAAATGTGTTTTTGTTACATTTAAAATAAAACATTTTTGCGATTACTTTAGATCATATTTTACTTTTCAGGACACCCGTTTTTGAAAATACAAGGTTATATGCAAAACGTGTTTTGTTACATTTAAAATAAAAGGTTTTTGCAATTAATTTAGATCAAATTTGACCTTTCACGGCAAACCCGTTTCCGAAAATTACAAGGTTATATATCGCGAAAATGTGTTTTGTTACATTTAAAATAAAACATTTTTGCGATTAATTTAGATCATATTTTACTTTTCAGGACACCCGTTTTCGAAAATACAAGGTTAAGTCGCAAAACGTGTTTTGTTACATTTAAAATAAAAACATTTTTGCGATTAAGTTTAGATCAAATTTGACCTTTCACGGCAACCCGGTTTCCGAAAATACAAGGTTATAATTCGCGAAAGATGTGTTTTGTTACATTTAAAATAAACATTTTTGCGATTTAATTTAGATCATATTTTACTTTTCAGGACACCCGTTTTCGAAAATACAAGGTTAAGTCGCAAAACGTGTTTGTACATTTAAAATAAAACGTTTTTGCGATTAATTTAGATCAAATTGACCTTTCACGGCAACCCGTTTCCGAAAATACAAAGTTATATCACAAAAAATGCGTTTTGTTACTTTTATTTTGCATTCCCAATAAAATACATATTTCCCTAATTAAAGTCGTCGATGAAAATGTTCCTGTCGTTCAAGCTGGACACACGTTTGGACGAGTGTGGGACGGTTTTTTTGGTCGACGATAAATTAAAAAGTTGCCACACGTTATTTGTATAACGATAATAACTGAAAATTAAGATTTTATAATAGAAGTGAATTTGTCTCAAGATGGTATTTTACGATTCTTGCCCACAGAAAATAAACACGCTGACAAGCTTGGTTATAATTGATATTCGTTTAATTTATTTTACACTATTAATAAACTAGCCACACCAAGTGCGGCCATATAAATTGCCAGTCGCATCGGTATGGCCTGTTTTTGGCGCTCTCACATTAATAAGAATTTTTCAACAAAACAATACCCCGACGGTCATTAAAGCTGAATTCGTTACCGAGTAATTCACAATTTTATTTACGGAATTCGCAATTTCAAGATCTCACTTGACGATTTTGATGATGCCATGCCCTAATATTACTGCTTAAATGCCTCAAAATACAACAATGTAATCATTTTCGACGATAACAGGCGCAACAATTCGTAAACGAGCCGTTATAACGAAATTCGCGATTTATTTTACATCTCTCTTGTTTACAATTTTAACATCCCGCCGGCCATGTATGGTCGAATAAAATGTTTACATATTCGAAACATGACTTGGCCAAGGATGGAAGGGATCACTAAAGAGCTAATAGAAAGTACACACGCGAGGGTATGATATTAATATCGAGAATATTTGTGAGCTTATCACAGGACGGAAATATTTTGCACCCAGCTGTTTGTTGGCAGAACAACGATACGCTAAAGTTAATTGATCGAATACAGGGAAGTATTTATTTATCATCTCACTTGCGAACATCGAGGTTTTGGCGGAATTGTACGATCATGTTGTTTTTTTTATTTATTTTTTTTTTTTTTCATTTTTTTTTTTTCATTTTCATTTATTTTAAATTCGAAATTGTCCGAAATACTCCCAACAGGTGTATAAGTACAATAATAATAGTACTTACCAGGGAAGTTTAATACACACGATGTGATGTGTTAAGGGCGTCGTAACTCCCGTTTTTTTTTAATTTGATTGTTTTACATTCTGCTTAAAAAACAACGTCGTTTTGCAGTCATCTAACGTAACTCTCGCGACCAAATCTTTTTTGTTTTGTATGGCATCGTCGTGGCGCAATTTATGCCGACTGAATTTTTAATTGTGTTTTAGGAGATAAGTTATTTTCTGTTTGTTGGTTTCTAAACTTGGGTAGCAATTACTATTAATGTGAGATTTGTGCATATGAACGATTGAATATCGCGACTGGATGTCCGATATCTGAGAATTCGTACTTCACTTTCAACATTAATTTTCAGGATATCAGCGTTCATGTGGTCGAATAAAAATTATTTATCAAATGGATTGGTATTTCGAGGCACTCTCAAAATTATTTGGGATCCACTATCATATCATTCGTTTATTTTTTATATTCATGTTTTTTTTCAGAATCACCCTCGTTATATTTCGTGTACCTTCGCAAAAGAAACTCTTTGGTGTCATCGTTCCTATTAGTGTAGTTGAAATATATGGAAACCTCGCAAGTGCGTTGTGATGCGAATATTTGATACTAGGTCAGCAGCATTACAAAGAGTCCTGTTTATGAATGCTGAAAGTACATGGCATTACTAACCTTTTGCCAATATATGTTGTTTTCTGCCCGATTTAAACTAACTCGCACGCAAACCAAGGCATGTCGACATTTAAAAATTACTTGTCTTTGGGTAAGCTCTGAAATAGTATAATATAAATGTAAATGAGAAATTAGGGTCACGCTAGGGAGGATTTCCAAAGTGATCTTGTGTAATATTTCGGAGAAAAAAGTTTGAAAGGAAAGTATGTCAACCTATCTCCTAAAACAGGGGAGTATCCTGCGTAATATTTCGGAGGGAACGTAGGTGTAGGTTTAACCTATCTTTTAACCTATCGGGTGGCGACTTTCAGAGTGGTTAAAAATCACAAATCAATATTTATCAGATTAGGGTTTAGGGATAAATCGAAAAGTTGAATTTCCAGCGCACCTAACCCTAATTAGTTGATTGCTATTTATATTTGGGGGGGGGGGGCACCGAGATTTGTACAAATGATCCACCCTGTAACTAATATGGTTTCCAGCCTGCATGTATCAATCCTTGTCTGTTAGATGGAAGGAGTAACAAATGTGAAAGCCTTTGCTGTTCACGCGAGTAAGCAACTGACACCGTGATACATTGAATGAAAGTTTGTCCGCGGCAGGTGTTAACTGCCGATGAATTCGCTTGTTTTAATTAAACATGAATTCGCTTAAAGGGAACTCCGTTAACGGAAAGACTTCTCTTCAATTCATGATATTAACCGGAGGAGCGCTTTTTCGAGTATCTATGCATCGTTTTGAATGGGTTATATGAAAGGCTAGGGCACCTAACTTGTTAAAATCCGCAAAAGCACTTTCGCACTTTTTTTTTTCGACTGCGAAGCACTTTCGCACTCATAATTCGCTTAGAGTTAACACTGCAAAACCGAAGTATTTTTTGTCCAAAATGGGGGTAAGATAAATATAGGTATGTAATTCACCTACAGCTATTCTCAAAAACATAGCCCCAGGTGCCATACTTATAAATATGATGTGTATATACCACTCATTATCCACAGCTTTGAAAGTTACGAAAATGCGATTTTTTCAAAACAGAAAAATAGGCTAAATTCATGGTTTTATATAGCGATATGTTGAGGATCACTCTTTTATTGTTCATTGATCATTCAAGCAAATGCTAAAGTGAAACTATAAGACAATTCAACAAAGAAAGAAATTTTCAATATTTATTTGGACATTCCCAGTTTATCCTATTTGTATGTGCTTTTCATTTTTTTGATTCGAGAAATTTTGAAAAAATGTTTCATACGTTTGGTATACATCACATTGTCGAATTTTGTCAATATAAAACTGTTTCATACTTTTCCATTTCCTCAGGTATCCAGAAATCGCTAAAGAAGTGAATGAAAGAGGGACAAAAATACTTGTAGATTCACTGAAACCAGATCAACCTATCATTTTTGCATCGGTAGAAAATGTATACGGTCGCTCTGCTCTGAATTTGAAAGGACCGTGCACAGAAGATGAAGAATGTGATCCACTTTCCCCCTTCGCTGCAACATTTGTTGAAAGTGAAAAACTAGTTCTAAAATCAAATGGAGTGGTGAGTTCTTTTTTAATTTCCAGATTTAATATAATCTTGTGTTAAAAATTAATTTAATAACTTTTTAAAAATTATTTCTTTACTTTCGAAATCTGTAATTATTCTTCGTAGTTATGACTCAGTTTTGAATTTATTTATGCATTACACTGAATTCCTAAAAGCATTCAAAATATGAAATATGCAATGTTTTTACTATCTTATGCGGACGGACATATCTACAGCTTGCATGTCCTATTGTTAATCATTTATTTACTACTCTCTGCGAATCAAATTTTTTGTGGAAACGATGAAGAAATAGAAAAATCGTACATAATTTTCTTTACTTGCTGATTTATTGACTTGCAGGCTCGCAGCGACCTATTCATTCTTTTTCAGGTTTTGCGAATTCCAAGTGCTTTTGGAATATCGCCAAGAATGAGACTAGATCTTCTTGTCAACAACCTAGTATTTCAAGCATGTACTAAAGGCCATATTGACTTGTATCAGGTAAAACACTTGCTGACATGCTGTTTTTTGTATTTGTATGCTGTATCTGTATTATGTCATATCTATTTGTTTATTTCACATAGCTTATCGAATCAGTTGCGTTATCAATAAGGCAAATTCCAAACCCTGTCATTGATTAAGTTAAACTGCAAATGTAAAACATCTGAGAAATTTTTTTATTAGGGTGATAAATGAACTGTGAATTTTGGATGAATTTGACTTGGCTAGTGTAATTGAATCAATATTTTTAGTAAATATTGAAACTTCTGAATCATTCCCATTATATGATAATCTGAAATGACAGTGGAAAAATTTAAAGAAATAAGTTACTAAGATGAATTTTACATTTTTACATCCAGGCTGATTTCAAAAGGAATTTCATTCATGTTCAAGACTTGGCTAAATGTCATTTATTCACTCTAAATAATATTGACAAAATGCGAGGCAAGGCTTATAATGTTGGACACGAGTCTCTCGGCTATTCGAAGAGACAGATTTGTGAGATAATTAAAGATCAGTTACCGAATATCAGAATTTCTGAACCAAAAGATGAGGCTTATAAAGACGCTGACAATCGTAACTTTGAAACTTCGTTTGAGCGCATAAAAGACGTGGGGTTTACTGTTACAAAATCGATACACGATGGAGTAACAGAACTTTTGAAAATTGTTCCACATTTGTCAGAAGCTGAAATAAAAAAATGCCAAGCTTTATAATGATCCAGAAAGTTGGATTCGTGATATATTTAAGTTTGCAAAATAAGCCACATCAGTATTCTGAAAGTACTAGTATTTCAACACAGTGTTACTTTTGTGTGTGCTTGTTTTTTGTGGTTGGCTCGTTTGCATATTGTAATGAGTATTGATTATCATTTGACTAATTATAATTTTAGATCCTATTTCAAGATATATCGACTTAATGCACAAGGCGTGCATGATAAGAATAAGCTTGCTTGAATTTTTTCCCATTTTCAGTCTTATAACACTGGAAACACCAAATTTATGATCAATCATATCATGATTAGTGAAGCTATATATGTTCAAGAATTAGAAATTAAATTTGTTTTTGTACTAAATACTGTATGATTCAACAGGTAAGTTTTCTGATAAAAAGTAAAATGAAATGCATTCATGGTCAAAATGGGTAAGAGAAATCTCCTGTAAACGATTGGTATATGATGTCAATTTGAACTAATTTTCGTTAGAAAATAGGTGTAATTTAGCGGCCTAAAGTGAAGTACATTTGAAAGGGCTTTCTAAATATAGGCTACGTATAACGCTATTAGGGCTCCAGGTCAAAGAAAAAGCGACTGGTAATCTATTATTTTTGTTTAGTAAACAATTTCTGAAGAAGTATACAGTTACTTGGCTATTGTCTTTGAACCTAACATCTGGCCAAGTATTGGCGTAATAAAATTCATTGAAAAATTTTGTACAAATCTATTAAAAAAACCGAGCTTCTGGCCAATATTTCAGTTTGGAGACTTTAATCTACGTTTACAGAATCGTTGCTTCCGCGGTCCACGTTGAAATATCGCCATTCGGAGACAAAAAAACTTCTTCTAAAATTGTATGCATAATAACTTTATTAAAAAAAACAGAATTAAGATCCCCAACATGACGAAAAGAAACCCATTCTGCGACGAGTACTCAAAATTTTGATAAATTTCGTTGTCGGGCCAAGACATTTTAATCGCATGGTATTCACGTAACTATCTGGATGACCTGACCAACATGTCTCGTACGAGACATAGCTGGCCCGTGGCGTCATTCTGCTGAAAGCTAAACTTTCAATAAAAGGTGATGGCTAATGTAAAAAAAACTAGGATCATAGTTATCTCGACTACAGATCCACGTTTGCAGAGAAAAATTTTGAGCAACTGGCGCAGTGCGTCGTTTGCCTTAAAAACCTGTAGAATTGTTCTATGACGCGTCAATTGAAGCAACATCTTTCAAAAATCCATCCTCAGTTTGCTAACAAAGATCGCAGCTCCTTCGAACTAAAAGCAAACTATGTAATAAAGATGAGATTCTACAACATGGGACAATTTCAAATGAGTTCAAAGGCGATAGTGACTGCGTCCTCTGTAGTTGCCAGCGAATAGCAAAGGACCAAAAAGCCCCACCACATCCGTGAGACCATGATGAAGCCTTGTCTGGTAGATTGTGCTGATAGTCTACTAAGCAAAACTGCGGCGTCAATGATGAGGAAGGTCTCCCTGTCCAATGACACTATTAAATGCCGCCGAGAGGATATGCTATTTAATACCAAAGATCAATTTCTAACAAACGTCGGAGTTACACCCTGATTCGAAATGCAAATTGGTGAATCGGTCGATGTAGCTCTTCCAACTAATGTTTTTTGTTTGCTATATTCACAACAAAACTATTGAGGAGGACTTTACATTTTGTCGCCCATTAGAAAACCGTACAAAGGCTGTGAATGTAAAGAAAAAAAAACAATGTTATTACGACGCATTGCATCATGCACCATGATTCAGATAATTTATTTTCGTTGTGCATGAAACGTTGTAAACACATACAATAAGAAATCAAGTCTAAATAAAAAGAAACAGACTCACAGTATTTCAAATCCCTGCAGCTACAGTGGGATTACACATATACCAATTAAATTATGAATAAGTAAAGTCATATTTAAGTTATATGCTAAGAGGAAATAGTATTGGAGAATATCTAACAATGGTTATAAATATAATGGGAACATGCCTGTTCAGCAACAATGACTATAATGGACAAAAGTAGACAATCAAACCTTGTATTTGCTAAAAAAAGATCATATTAGATTCATTTTGTGCTGTGAGGAACACATATCGAAGAATAATACATTTGGAAAATTATTAAGACCGAGATGAATAGCATATTATGAAATGTTGAGCAAACAAAGGCGAATACTTCGAAGGAAGAAGTCGTACTAAATTTATTTTGCACCGAGAGAAGCACATGATACAGATGATATTGAAAAGTAGGCTATACCACAACTTCGGAAAATCAATATGAACATGGTGTGTAATATTATGTGTATTAAACAAAATAAAAAAATTCTCATAAACTAGAGTCCAGTGTTTCCCAACCCTAGTCCGCGGTCCCAAATGAGTCCGCGGAGTGTTTGAATGAGTCCGCAACGAGCCAGAAATTCAAGGCGGGCTGCAAACGTTTTTGCGAAACTTAACCATCAGCCAAGTTACAATTTAGGTTAGAATTTACATAAAACATAAAAAGCAAGTTTATTCACGTAACATTAGTCGATTCAATATTTACTGGATACCGAGTAGGGCTGGGCATATATTCAACTATTAGAATAGCAATTTACTATTCGAAAATTTGGTAACAGGTGACGCGACAGGTCACTTTCGCGTCGGTTAATCAAACGATTGGATTTCACAACTCACCCGACGAAAACACGAGTCGGCACACGCGTGGATAGATACCTAAATGGTGTTTCTCGCGCGCTTGAACAACTAGAAATAATGTTTTTTTTTTCTGGTAGGTATCAATGGTGGCAACCTGAATTTTCTTAATTGAAAAGCGGCAATACTAAAAATAAAATGGAGAACACCATAAGTTTTGTTTTATGATGGTCCACATCAGATTGAACGCTTTTTTATACATTGCAAATCGCAAAATTTCGGGGGCTACTGTAGTATACTGTAGTAAGGGCTTTTTCCCTTAAGATTATTTGCTTTACTGTCTCGACACTAGTACGTACATTACTGGAGCGCCGTAAGTGTTGTACGAACAGCTCAGATTTGTTGAATTTACAAAAAAAACGAATCAAAACAAAATATAATCGGACACTTCACCACGCATTTTTGTGTCCACGGATTGTCGTGATATTTCTTGAGTAGTATTGCTTTTATTTCGTCAACACAACCGCAGATTAAAATGATCACAATTAAATTAATATTAAAGCAAGGCGATGAATATTTTTTTTTGATTTACTAATATATATACTTTGATTATATTTTTAATAAATACTAAATCAAGTTGTACTTTCTGGAAATTTATAGCAGATAGTAGCAATTTTCTAACGGCGATAACAAATTCGCAAGATCGCAAAAAAAAAATTATGTATCAAAACTAATATAATCGGGCAATATATTCTCATATTATTATGTTCGCAGATAGCCATGGCATTTTAAAGAAGTAATGCTCTCATCTTGTCATAAGTCGACATGACCGCGGTGACCATGAACACAATTAAATTAAAATAGAAAGAAATTTTAAATTCTCGTCGTTGTCATGGATTGAATATTGTGCGACAGAAAAGGCCATTTACACACTAAAAATTCGACTCTTTAAACAAACGCGCAATTGCGGCGAATTGCGAAACGCAATTGCGTTTGGTTTTATTACTTTTTCACACCGAGTACATTTGCAATAAACGCACGTTGAGTCCGCAAAGGTTTTTGCCGGTGAGAAAATAGTCCGCGACCGAAAAAGGTTGGGAAACGCTGATTACTAGACTTTCAAACAATTCATGAGACATTCTTACTATGCCAAATTACTGACAAATATAAGCATCAATGTAGAGATTTATTAGTGCGTGTTTAAATGAAATATAATTCTTTGGTTGAATTGTATCAAGAAGCATATTACATAAGTTCACACCAAGAAACTTATTAATAGTTTTTTGAGACCGATTGGTTGAGTATAGCGAGGCACATAGTAAGAGCTATTGGCAGCAGACCAAGAGGGTGTACTCTAGTTTGTCTGACAAAATAGTTGGTGAATGCTAATGGCAGTTTTTTTTATTATGATGCTGGTGCAGGAGTTTCAAAACGTCAATTTTATTAATATCCGCCATTTTAATAATTTGTGTTTTATGGTAGAGGGAATCTAGTTTTGACATTGGTCCAGCATAAGTAATAGCATAGATAGGCATTGGCCTTGAAAACAATGCAGCACCCACTCAAACAAACTCGGGATTGTGCAATTAAAATCGTGAATTACGTAAAAACGAGCGCTCTAACTGCTCGACTTAAAACTCTGTCAGGATATCATGATATGGAATATCAGTACTGTTGTGTCCCTGACACTGACTAATGAACTATACAAGAATCCAACTTGATAGAAACATCAGTTTAATGAAAACAAACAATAACAACGCTTAGCAAGCAAACTTATAACAGCGTACCGAATCACTAATGTCACATGAGGTTCTATAAGAATGATGCAATAGTAAACACTTAACGCCAGCTAGTGGAAACATAAAATATATAAAAAAGTCAGTACACAACATCTTCCCTTCTTCCTGAAAAGAAAAAATTTATTTTTTCAACCTAACTCATAGTCTTGTAGATACGATGGAAGTCTTCGGTTTCTAGAAGGATTTCGTCGTGCATTTCTTGGACTTTGTCTCAAATTAGGAATATCTTCATTATTAAATCCAAAAGTCTCCACATGAAAATCATTTTCGTTTTGAAAACTATGTTGATAGGAACGTACAAGTTTTCTCGCATTCCACATTGAACCATCTTCTAATTTATAAGTTGCAGGTCCAACTTTCCTTGTAATTTTGTGAGGATTCGACAAACTTGATTTGAACTTGTGACCTCGAATTGGTCCTTTTATTCGAACCCAATCTCCGACTTCAAATATAGGTACTTTTGCATGTCTTTTATTATCAGTGTACAATTTTGACTTTTGTTGACGAATTGCAATTTCTTTTTGCATTTTCGGAATATTAATATTTGTTTCAGTATTCGAAGGTTTAAGACATTCTAATGACAATCTCATTTTCCTTCCAGTCATCAGTTCTGCTGGAGATTTTCCTGTTAAAGCATGAGGAGTAGCTCTGTAGTTTTGTAGAATTATTTGAATAGCTTTACCAACTGTCTTCCCTTCTCTCAAATGAGTTTTTAGTCCTTCCTTTAAAACTCTGTTAAATCTCTCTGTGATAGAGTTTGAAGTAGGATTGTACAAAGCACATAATTTCTGTTTTATCCCATGTTTTGCAAGAAAATGTTTAAACTCATAGGATACAAAAACAGAACCATTATCAGAGGTTATAGATTCAGGAATTCCCCATCTTGCAAATAATCCTTCTAATATGTTTATTAAATATGTGGATGTTACATTAGATGTCAAAGCAACTTCAGGCCATTTGGAATGTAGATCATTTATAACAACAGCAAATCTATCTTTCACAGGTGCAATTTGCATTTCTCCAAATACACCAATTGAAATATCTTTCCAAGGCTCACTAGGCCATGGTATTGATTGAAGTGGTGGTTCGGCAGGTTTGATTGATTTCCCACTCATTGCACAAGGTTGACAATTGCGAACAAAATCTTCGATTTGTGCATTCAATCTCGGCCACCATACATTCTCTCTGCACCTTTGCTTCATCCTGACCATACCAGGATGTCCACTGTGTGCCATTTCTAGGACTCGTTTTCTCAGTTGACTTGGAAT